TTTAATTTTGTTGCTTTCTAACTTACTTGCTTGAACAAATTTAATCATCTATATATATAAAAATGAATGTATGTCTGTCTGTCTATGTGTCCTTCATGCATTACCACACCGTTTATCCGATTGCCGTGAAACTTTGGGAAGTTGTTTAATATACTCCAGCGAAGGTTTGTGGCATAGTAAGATTGCCATGAAGCTTTGGAAAGTTTTTTAATACACTCCCGCGAAGTACATTTATCCTATGATAGATGGCTCACGTTTACACGAGCATTCGCGCACAGTGTGTTCGATCAATTTCAAATTGTGAAGACCATTTTCCCCCTTCAAAAATATCTCTATATATGCATTTGTGAACTGTTATTTATGATATTTATAATAATTTTTGTTTAATCACTTTATTTCGACTTTTTTTGCTAATTATGTATTCGCTCGAACTTCGTTAAAATCTTAACTGTACCCCGAACAACGACTGAAGTTGTAGGAAGAAATTCGCGTATTTTACCGATCTAGGTATCCCCCTTTTTCAAATTTTAATATCGACTCAAAATAATTTAAAAAGACAAATTACAATAAAACGGTTTATTATCCGACTATCAGAAATTTCACAACATGCGAAGGAAGAGAGAAAGGAGCAATTAAATAATTAAAATTATAAAGGATTTAAAAATATATATATAAATGGGGAATATCGTGCTTCTGACAATCTCTGCGAGTGTGTGGGCTAAATTTGAGAATCCGTGCTTCTCGCGTGGACAACTGTACGTGGCCGGCTCATGTGTCGGAAACCCTTCCGATTTATTCGTGTACGCACCAGACGGATAAACAAAAAATATCGTGTATCCACAAGCACTCCAATAAATAAATAGAATTGAAACAACACTTTGAAATGTTTTTCCGATGGAAACGAATAATAATAATAAGTTTCAATAAAAATGATAAAATGAAAATTTAATTTTATCATTATGAGTTTGCTTGAATTTCGTTTCTTCTGAGATCGCAGCAATGCGCGACGGGTAAGCTAGTTTGATATAAGAATAAATTATCATAAGACTCTGGCATCAGATATTTCCAACATTCAGTTATTATGAACAGAAGGGTAAACAAGTTTAGGTGTAAGTGTTTGAATGTAGAGTTACAAAGGTGATTTGCTAGCCACTTCAAGGGATAAGAAACGTATTTGTTATTCTTGCATTTATAACATCATTATAATCTAAGCAACTAATAAAAATTGATATAGTGATTTGTCTACTTTGTAGTTATCAAGTAGGTGTAATTTTTTGAACATTTTTGCTTTTTTCAATAAATGATTTATTAAAAATTACTTTAGTCATCACAAAGCTGTTAAGATCATAAATTAAGTCATAAATAAAATAACTACGAAATTACCAACAAACCAGCATAAATTCACTTCAAAAACAAACGTTTTCTACCATCTTCAACGGTCATCAAATTTATGCTGGTTTGTTGGTAATTTCGTAGTTATTTTATTAATTCTCACACCAGTAGTGTTAGTATGATGAATGATTGTTTAAGTCATAAATGTGAGAAAACTGAATATCTTCCTATACTTTAAAGTGGTCAGCAAATTGCCTTTCTAACATGATCTTTAAACTTTCACCAAATAAATGCCGTTGTCTTAACCTTAAAACTGTTTCATTTTTATTACTACTGTACTACAGTTCTTGTCAAATGAATAAATAACTTCAGAAAAGTTTATGGTTTGTTGGTACCATAAGCTTAATTTCAACAATAAGACAGAAGTTTAACAAAAACATTAATAAGTACGACAATAAGTGATTGACAACTTAACCAGATTAGTCTTCTCAAACAGATAAAGAATATTGTTCAACTTTTTAAACCTGTCCTCCTTCCCTATTCCTATTTTAAGCCAGTCTTTATTCAATGCCTACAATCAAAGCTTGTCATCTGAAAGAGTATTTAAACCAATTCCTTGTTTTCATTTTAAAATATTTCATAGTTAATTAATTATTTTGGAATATTGAAGGCAGAACTTCGTGTTTTTGTACGGTAGGTTATGAACAACAGTATCCATTATTTAGTGTGTCCTCTATTTAGGATAAATATTATAGATGTCCTATTTGAGATTGTAAAAATGTCCATTAAATACAGGTGTCTACTATTCAGGAGTGTCCATTAACAAAGGTTTCACTGTATTATATAATTTAGTCATCTAAACTTACTGTTTGGGCTGATGTGGGATTATAAGTCCAAAATGGATTTCCAATACTAATAAAGCATATACAGTACTTTTGAACTTCATCTCTGACTCTGTTTAATCACTTAACCTACAAGATGTGATAAATCTGTGCAATCTGCCAAATTTGGGTTATATCTGGAAGCATTAACCCAGACAAGCAAGAATATTTAAATACCGCATTTATTTGATTATAAGCCGACACTGTGTAAGCTGATGCAAGGAAATAGAAAACAAAAATAAATAAAAAATGAAAATTTATTAATCAAGCATAAGGAATCAATTTTACATCATTTAAGTGTTCTGTTGCTTTCATTAGATGAATCAGATTCATCATCATTTGTTTCTTTGTCCATTTTCATATAGAGCATCATCATCTATGCTGTCAAGCACATTTAAGATTAAACACTTTTTAAATGCACCAGTGGCAACTTCTCTAGAAATACTTTTCCAAGTGAGCATAAAAATTCACAGAAACTTATCTGCGGCAGCTTCTGGGGATACTTTTCCAAACTTTTGACTATGTCGATAAAAGACATCCCTTACTGACTGCATTAATGATATCAATTCTAAGCTGAGGGTCTTTTTTGAACCACAAAAAATTTAAAAAATGGTCAGCTTACAATCAGGTAAATACAGTAGATTAAATTATAGAAAATGTTCACTAGTTAATTTTTAAAAATCATTTTAAATTATGATTTTATCACATGCACATCTTTTAAACAGATTGGAAGGATTTTTTAAGACACTAATGCTTAAGGTAATATTTGGAATATGCAGACAAACACTATAAATATACAGTACTACAGTACTAAGCCCAAAATTATAAGTTAATCAAATAATAATGCCAGATTCTTAGGGCCATAACTTGGCTAATTAAATATAAAGTAATTTTAACTAAAGTTAGACAATTAATTCACTTTGTATTAATCTTGTATTAAATTTAATAATTAAAATTAAATCAATTAATTTAGAAAATTCTGGAAGAAAAGATTAACATAACAGGCTATGGAATGGCACAGTAGGCAGAATTTGCAGATTAAAGTCCTAATCTAGCTCAATCTTTTCTTCCAGACTATTCCAGATTAATTAATTTAATTCTAATTATTAAATTTAATACAAGATGGCAACTTAATCATCTATCATTAGTCTAAATTACTCTATACCTATATATTTGAACAGGAAAGTTATGGTCCAAAGAATCCAGTGTTAATTAAAGACAACATTATTCTGAATATAATAAAACAATAACATTGTCATTTGACTACTTACAAGGAGTTTTTGTTTACAGGGTAATAAAACAATTAATAATTTATTGATATTAGTAGTAGGGGTGGATGATGGTTCTACTCACAACCTCATCTCTAAGTATTAAAGTTTTACTACCCTAACCTTGAAAGACAACCTATCACTTTTCAATTAAACAAATTCCATGTCAATCAGTGACAGGAGATATTTTACAGCAACGTGAAATTTGATATGTTTATTTTATTACTTTATCAGACCAAATACATTAAAATAAACATAGAAAATTAAGTCCAAAAATATATTACATTGTTAGAAAGTAGATAAAATGCAGAAATAAAAGATATAATCATAGTTTCTGAATGCAATGCCAATAATTTCATAAATTTGAAATAAAAATTGGCATTTGACAACATACAAATGTTCAAAAGCAGTTGACCTCAGGACTCTTTCAGAGTTAAAATTCACTTTTCTGAAAGATCATAAATGAATATTTAGTAATAGCATAATTCCATCCAAAAGATTTCATTAATGCAAATGAATAAAATCACATTTTAATATTTTTGATTTCAGAAAATTATACCTTTCAATTTTAACTTCAGCTCTTTATCTCTACAGAATTTGACAGACTAAATACACTGCTGGCCAAGTAAAATGCAACACCTGCAATATCTAGAGGCCTACATGGTATTGCATTTTACTTGACCAGCAGTATAGAATATTCTGAATAACATTATTATTAATGTATTTTAAATAACTGATTCTAATAAAACAGTAATATCTTTGAAAATTGTAAAGTTAAAATTATTATTCTTTATTCACTTTTATTATATATAATATTAAATTTTAACTTTTTTAATATTAAGTCTAAATTATCCTGTCAAAATGAGTTATATTGTTTTAATGAAATTACAGGTACTTTATAAAACATGTATTTATTGTAAAAGTCTGTTTTGGTTTATAAATTTCATGAAATAACTAAATAAAATAAACACATTTGGTAAGGAAGTTTCTGAAACAAATGTAACTTAAACATGTCCATTATCAGAAGTCAACAAGTCACTAGTATCCTGATAAAAAGGTACAGTACATAGTTTGAAAGCTTTAGAGCAAAATTCTCAAACTCAAACAAAGCAAAAGGCCAGTCAAATATATGTATATCCTACATGAGCCATATTCATTATTATTTGGTACACCAAAACATATTGTAATTAAAGGCCTGTCTAACAATCTTTGTTAGATGCCTTTACAACTTATGTAAACAGTTAGATGTTTGAATTTTTTCTGTTTTTATCCCTGCAAGATGTTAGAAACATTGATTTTTAGAAAATAAATCATCAAAGCCACAGGCCAGATATGAAGCCTTAATGGGCCATATCCAGCTTAAGGTCGTGAGTTTGCAACCCTCCTTTAGAATTTCCTAAAATGTTTTTGCTCTAAAAAAGCAATTTAAACTGCATAAAATAAACATCCAAAATTCCTAATGATAAATAATAGATTAATATATTAATTTTTTTATTTTTATCACAAAAATAATACTTACATTAACATCCCAATCTTTATTAAGATAATATATACTAGTAATACAACGTCCATCTTTATTTGGATTATCCACATGTTTTACATAATGTGTTCCATTTCCAGGATAACATGCAATCATAGCCTGTAACAAAAAAAAATATATTTTTCCATAATATATACTGTATATAAAAAAAATAACACAGCATGTACTGTACTTATATAAAATTAAAAATCAGAAAAATTCTGTTTTCATCAAAGAAATATATACCACAAATACTATATATTATAACCACCATATGACAAAACAACTTATCTGTTTTATATTAATAATATTAAGCTACATTTTTCAATTTAAAAAAATATAAGGAACTCATAGCCAGAAATGTGATATAAAGTTTCTACAGAACTTTGCACTTTGCAGTTGGTATGCTGAATGAAACAGCAGAATACAGTATTTATGACAAGTTTTATTGACAAAATAGTAGAGCACAATCAAACTGTACATCAAATCAGTGGCTGCACTACTTTAGAGTAAATGTTCAATGTGACGACCACCAACTTCATTAATGTGCAACGACAAACTATGTTTTGTTCGACTCTCTGTAAGATGCCATGCTCCCCTCATGATATTAAATGCTGTAAAGATGCACTCTGTAAGGTCATGAACTGTTCTTACAGGTGTTGCATACACAAGGGATTCACGATGACTAGCTATGTGTTTACAGTACAGCGCCAGTGGATGCAAGGGGTGACCTGAAGGATGACAAGCACTAAGTACATGTCTTGTACACAGGCTTAGTTAGACCACTGTAGTTGTGTGTTTACAGTCTTCCATTTGCAGCAATAACATGACGTCAATGGACAGAAGGGTAGCTACCAAAGTGAAGGGCAGTCAAGCACCTCTTACTGCTGTAGACACTTTAGTTCAAATTTCCGGCTATAGGTTCCTTATATCAAGACGTTCAAAATTTCATCCTCTACAATCCCCAAATTTCTAAAATGTCATTCTGATACACCCTGTATAGAAGTTATCATGCCAAATTTTTTCTTAACCTTTACCCCATCCTGAGATATTGAACAAAACACACACAACCACAAAAATTTTTACCCTATTGACATTTTGGGTTCAGGGATCTCAAAACAGAGATTTGCAAAAAAACATGGAGGGTCAAATCTGACACAATTCCACTACTTTTCCTTGTTATGTATACGTAACAGCCAGGAAAATAAAATTTAAATTTAATTTAAAATAAAATTTGGATTTATGGATACATTTAATTCATTTATAATAGACCATCATTTTATAACAACTGATATAAATTTTCTATTATGACTGTATAAAATGTCATATTTAATAGTGTTTACAAACTTATGTTTTTATTACCAACTAGCTGCAAGGACCCGCTTCGCTGGGTTTTTATTTGTGGGCAAAAATTAACAATAGTGAAGATTAAGATAATTACATTATAGCCAATCTTACCCATTTTCACAGAATGCAAGAATTAGGTCCCCCGTTTCCAGACTAATTAGGGAATTTTTACGTCCAGTCAAACAAACTATTTTCAATTTGATCAATTTTCTGGAACGTTTACAATCGTTCTATAATCAAACCAATTCGAATTCGAAAATTTTTAAAATCGAAATAGAAAATCTTCCACTTTCAACCACTTTCAAGCCCATATCTCCTGCACCCTTATAGCTATCGAGACACAACCACCATAGTGCACGAATGGAGACTTGGGGCTACTACCACATACAAACACCATTCATGTGTGATGTGTAGTTTTGGCTGAAAAGTGAAATATAGGGACACACACGTCCATTTTTATATACAGGTATATATATTAGGTCAGTCCATAAGTTCGTGCGTATTTTATGACCTTGTTTTGCTGTTAAAAATGCCAGTCTAATGTGATACTTTTTACACTGAAGTGTTAAATTGGATCTCATTCATATAATACTGTTCAGAAATGGGAACATTTCAGTTGTTTATTTTCGTTAAAATGGAAGTGACAGATGAATATAAGAGACATGTTTTATACTTTTTATTTTTAAGTGGTGAGAATGCTACAAATGCAGCCAAAAAATTAAATACTGCTTATAATCAAACTGTAACAAGTGTAAGGACTGCGCAGAAGTGGTTTGAAAGATTTAGAAATAATGATTTTAGTGTGNCAGTTGGTATGCTGAATGAAACAGCAGAATACAGTATTTATGACAAGTTTTATTGACAAAATAGTAGAGCACAATCAAACTGTACATCAAATCAGTGGCTGCACTACTTTAGAGTAAATGTTCAATGTGACGACCACCAACTTCATTAATGTGCAACGACAAACTATGTTTTGTTCGACTCTCTGTAAGATGCCATGCTCCCCTCATGATATTAAATGCTGTAAAGATGCACTCTGTAAGGTCATGAACTGTTCTTACAGGTGTTGCATACACAAGGGATTCACGATGACTAGCTATGTGTTTACAGTACAGCGCCAGTGGATGCAAGGGGTGACCTGAAGGATGACAAGCACTAAGTACATGTCTTGTACACAGGCTTAGTTAGACCACTGTAGTTGTGTGTTTACAGTCTTCCATTTGCAGCAATAACATGACGTCAATGGACAGAAGGGTAGCTACCAAAGTGAAGGGCAGTCAAGCACCTCTTACTGCTGTAGACACTTTAGTTCAAATTTCCGGCTATAGGTTCCTTATATCAAGACGTTCAAAATTTCATCCTCTACAATCCCCAAATTTCTAAAATGTCATTCTGATACACCCTGTATAGAAGTTATCATGCCAAATTTTTTCTTAACCTTTACCCCATCCTGAGATATTGAACAAAACACACACAACCACAAAAATTTTTACCCTATTGACATTTTGGGTTCAGGGATCTCAAAACAGAGATTTGCAAAAAAACATGGAGGGTCAAATCTGACACAATTCCACTACTTTTCCTTGTTATGTATACGTAACAGCCAGGAAAATAAAATTTAAATTTAATTTAAAATAAAATTTGGATTTATGGATACATTTAATTCATTTATAATAGACCATCATTTTATAACAACTGATATAAATTTTCTATTATGACTGTATAAAATGTCATATTTAATAGTGTTTACAAACTTATGTTTTTATTACCAACTAGCTGCAAGGACCCGCTTCGCTGGGTTTTTATTTGTGGGCAAAAATTAACAATAGTGAAGATTAAGATAATTACATTATAGCCAATCTTACCCATTTTCACAGAATGCAAGAATTAGGTCCCCCGTTTCCAGACTAATTAGGGAATTTTTACGTCCAGTCAAACAAACTATTTTCAATTTGATCAATTTTCTGGAACGTTTACAATCGTTCTATAATCAAACCAATTCGAATTCGAAAATTTTTAAAATCGAAATAGAAAATCTTCCACTTTCAACCACTTTCAAGCCCATATCTCCTGCACCCTTATAGCTATCGAGACACAACCACCATAGTGCACGAATGGAGACTTGGGGCTACTACCACATACAAACACCATTCATGTGTGATGTGTAGTTTTGGCTGAAAAGTGAAATATAGGGACACACACGTCCATTTTTATATACAGGTATATATATTAGGTCAGTCCATAAGTTCGTGCGTATTTTATGACCTTGTTTTGCTGTTAAAAATGCCAGTCTAATGTGATACTTTTTACACTGAAGTGTTAAATTGGATCTCATTCATATAATACTGTTCAGAAATTGGGAACATTTCAGTTGTTTATTTTCGTTAAAATGGAAGTAACAGATGAATATAAGAGACATGTTTTATACTTTTTATTTTTAAGTGGTGAGAATGCTACAAATGCAGCCAAAAAATTAAATACTGCTTATAATCAAACTGTAACAAGTGTAAGGACTGCGCAGAAGTGGTTTGAAAGATTTAGAAATAATGATTTTAGTGTGAAGGATAAGGCTCGTACTGGAAGACCCGTTGACTTTGATGATGATGCTCTCTCTGCACTAGTTGAAGCAGAACCATCTTTAACAGTTGATGAAATTGCGGAACATTTAAATTCATCCCATGGAACTGTTCATAGACATCTACAACAAATCGGAAAAGTTTCAAAGCTAGGAAAATGGATACCACATGAACTGTCAATAGCTAACTGACAACAACGTCAACTGCTCAACTCCAAAGCTTCAACTGGGAAATTTTACCTCATCCACCATATTTGCCAGATATTGCTCCCAGTGATTATCATCTTTTTCGGAGTTTGCAGAATTTTTTAAAAGGAAAAACTTTTGAGGATGAGAACAATGTAAAAAAGGCTATTTCTGAATATTTTGATTCAAAACCGAAATCATTTTACAAAGACGGGATTAAAAAGCTACCATCAAGATGGGAAGAAATTGTACAAAATAATGGTGAATACATTATAGATTGAAATAAGATTTAATTAAAATTTTTTGTTGCTTTTTTTGTAGATAAAAATGCGCACGAACTTATGGACTGACCTGATATATATAAAACAGTAAATTTTCAGCACTACCAGTTTACTGGAAATTTTATGGACATTTCACTATAATTCTTTTTGTTGTGATTTAAATTTTTGAAAAATATGAAACAAATACAAACATCAAGTTTTTAAAATAACAAGTAATTGAAAGAATTGAAGCAGGACAGTCATAAGCACAGATTGCTAGATGGTTGCACATTAATCATTCTGTCATTCACAAAATACGGAAATGATTTCCAGAGACTGGGTCAATATTGAGAAAGCCATCTGCTAGTTGTTCAAGGGCAACAGCAATCCTACTTAAGGTCTTTGCCTAATAGCACAGAGAGACAGACTACAACTGTCTCAACTGCAACCTGACCTCAGAAGTGCTACAAGGACTATGATGTCAATATCTACCATTAGTTGAATGAGCTAGAGGTTGGTCCCTCTGCTAGAAAACCAGTGGTTTGTGTGCCTATTGCTTTATTCCATAGATGAACATCTAAACTGGTATCAGCTTTTTGTCAATTAGATCCAGAAACAATGGACATATGGATGACAAATTATTCTTTCAATCACCATAACAGTGTATTTCTATTAATAGGACTTATCACACTTGTGTATAAGATTACAGCAACTCAGTCACACAGATAAAAATTGTTTTATTTACAATTACCTGGACACATACAAATTGCGTTTCGGACTTGCGTTTTTGTATGTATCCAGGTAATTGTAAATAAAACAATTTTTATCTGTGTGACTGAGTTGCTGTAATCTTATACACCAGTATGATAAGTCCTATTAATAGAAATACACTGTTATGGTGATTGAAAGAATAATTTGTTTAAATTAAGGACATTGATGCATATTAATTGACATATGGATGAGTTTAGGTTTGTTCTTCAGAATGCTTCTAGATGCTCTCTGATCTGGAGAGGAGAAAGTATTTACTATCATTCTACAAACATCCTTAAAGAGATACTTATAGAAATGGAGGTGTTATGATTTGTGTGAACATCTCCTTGAGTGACCATGCAGATCTCTGATTTCTCTCAGCAATATTAAAGGACAAAGGATATATAGGTTATAGGGATGAAATCCTAGATTAGTTTGTGGGACTTTGTGAGTACAATAGGGACAAAGTTCATTCTATAGGAAAATAATATCCATCTCCACAGAGCAAGGATTTTGAATTATCTTGAAGTAAATACCATAACTTGTATGGCATGGCTGCACATCCTCTGAATCCTGAATAGTATGTTTGGAATGCTCTAGGGAAATATGTTTTATTCCTTCAACTTCCTTGAAACCTCCAGGGATTCCAACTTGCCCAATAATGAGAATGCAAACTATTCCAGTTACTTTCATCAAATACTGCAAATAGTATGAAACAACACTGAGGTATGTATTGCTGTAAAAGGTGATCATACACCATATTAATGTAGGGTACATTAGAGACTTTTTGTCATGAACATCATAATCTATTGTTTGTACTTATAGTTAACTAAATTGCAGTAAACTTGGCATTTCAATAACTCATTCCTGTATGTTACTTTCTGTCAAATTCCATACACATTAATTATGATTTTATAAATGATTTATTGTTTGTTCTCTTTATATTGCAAGGCAGTGTAGTATCTTAAAGAACATATAGAATACAATTGTATTTTAATGGATGCCATTTTATTATATTTTATAAACGGCAAGTTTTATAAACTATAAAATTTCTTTTTTCTTTTTATAAAAGAATAAAACATTATTTTATAAAATATTTTTTGTTTATTGTACTCTAATAATTTTTTCTGCTGTCCCAAATCCAAAATACTGTATAAACTTTTAAGTCTACATCACTGTAGTGGAATCCTAACTATACCCAATTTTATAAAACTTTGAATTTGGGAATGCATCATCCATCAACATTAATAACATTATTAAATGAATTTTGTCACTATTGTATTTGAGATATAATGTTGCATCTCAATTTGCTTAGATTCAGGAAATCAAGTACAGGTATCCCTCATATAACACAGTAGTTACATTCCGAGAAAGTGCCATGTTATGTGAATCTGTACTATACGAAACAAAGGACTAATGCAAAACATGTGATTAGGTTCCAGAAGTAAACTATTCTTTTTAGTTACAAAGAGAAATATGTTTATTAATGCAATAAATAATTCATTTTCAATCAATAATTAACTAACAATCACAATTAAAAATACTGCAGTATGCATTAATATTAATTTTAGTTAAACAAGGGCATTTTCTTTTTTACAAAGTATCGATATCTTCTGAGCTTTTTTGATGATCTTGATCAGAAATATCAGCAACATCTTTTTATCTTTTTCTTCATCTTTTTATTCTTACCGTAAAAATTTTTTTATGTATGATAAAATTAAAAATAAAAATATGTTGTTGATCGAAAATTTGTTCTACTGGTTTGCATTTGTTCAAGGACTGAGCAATTTATTTATCAGAATTTGTGTTCGAATACCAAACTGTTCAAATTGGGAACAGTTCGAGTACTAAGATTCTGCTGTATTTCACTTGTCATTTTTATGAATGATTTCTTTTAACCATAGGTTAAAAAAGATTATTTAAATATTTTTATGTGTTATTAAACTTTACTAAATATGAAGATTAATCTATAAAAACAAAACATGGTGACAGTCTTTTAAGGGCTAAAGTCAGAAAGCAATGACAATGATACCTGGTCAATAGGAATCTAGTCCTATTAATAAACAAGGTCCAAGTAGACAATATATACACAGAAATGTCATTATATTAATTTTATCACTTAGTTTTGAATTTTTTTTTAGTTATGAAAAAAAAATTCATAACTAAGTGATAAACTTATATGTGTGTATTTACATGTTCATGTTTCATTATTAAATAATGTAGAAGAAAATTTACATTATATTATTGTCAATTAAACATATTTAACTGACTATAAAATAATAAAGTAATTATTGTTAAGCAATACTTTTGAATTTAAAAAATATATATAAACCTAACTAATTTATAAAAAAAACTAAGCAAGAATTAAACACAAGAATGACAGAAGTGTGCTTAGTCACAAATCTAAACAAGGATAGCTATACACGATTCAGTAGTAAACATAAACTTATTAAGTGATATTTTTGTCAATACTTTTTGAAATTTAAAATTATAAACAAATATTTGTTATAACTATTGAGTAATATTCATTATTGTAATTTTAAAAAATAGCAGCTTTTTTGGAAGTCAAAAGTCTAGTTCTAGAAGTTCTTAAAAAATAACAAATTACTTTCAAAAACTTTAAGAACATATAATCTAAAAAAAGAATTAGCTTCCAATGACTTAAAGATAACCAGTAACTAATTTTTTATAGCTATTTTTGGATTCTGAGAATGAAAACTAAGTATCCTCAGAAGTATTTAGTGAACTAGAAATTCTTACTTGTAGAAAAATATTTTTTTAAGTGAAGGGATCAAAACAAACTTGTCATATCAACAAATAATTCTAATCATTTGTTTAAGGCAAGTAAATATCTAGACTAAGATTAATTAATGCAGTTATGTGGTATGTATAAAATTTGTTTTGAAGTAGTTTCAGTTACATGTTAGTTTACAAAAAATATTTTATGGCCATAAGCATACCTAAAAAATAATCTCCTCAAAAAAATTACTGCACAAGTAAAATAACTTTAAAAAGAAAATGTTTTAATGGAGAAAAATAAATAATCCTCCCATTAAAAATTGAAACATAAAACTTGTACTTGAAATAAGATTAGAAGCTATAAACAGTAAGCAATGTGAACAAGAAACTGTTAACAAATTATCACTAGATCAGATTAAATTGCATAATATAATATAAAAGACTTTTTCAAATGTGGATGTTTGTTATCCCATAACTTATATAAAATCTTACTTTCACATATTTTATAGATTAATTTTATTTATGAAATATTATTAAAAAACAATAAACCAATAGACAAACTCATTCAAACTGTTGCAAATTAAATTTGAAACATTTTCAGAGTGACTCCAATTCCATCTACAGGTAACCCCTGTATAACACAGTAGTTACGTTCCAAAAAATTGTCGTGTTATGCGAATCAAAGAACTAGTAAGAAAAGGAGAGTTAGGTTCCAAAAATTAAAAAACATGCTACTATATTTTCATAATTAAGATAAATATCTTTATTAAAATTTTCTTAAGTGATACATATTAATATAAATTAAACAATGTTTTCTTTGTCATCACTAAAAGCACTATTAACCGAAAACATTACACATTTGGCAAGTTATCGTTATCCTCTGAGCATTTTTCTGCATTATTTTCAGATTCATGCTTTACTTTTTGCAAAAAGTGTATGTAATTATAGATTGCTTCTTCTAGTTAAAAGATCTTTATAAATTTCCTTATATGGTGCTAAGCACTTATGAAATAAGGGAAAAACATCTGGCAACACCAGAAGCAGAAGCGTCGAGATATGGCAAAATTGAAACAATTTTCGCGAAAAACCATGTGTTTGGAGACGAGAAAAGAAAATTTACACACTGAAGTACTAATAGTTCACAAAAATTATTATTTTCGTGAACTATTAGTACTTAAGTATGTAAAAATTTATTACATTTCATGTTGTATGAGGGTTTTACCCATTTCTCGAACCGTATCAGAGAGAATCTGTGTTATAAAAGTACCATGTTATACGGGGGATGGTACCAATTCTCAAACCGTGTTAGAGTGAATCCGTGCTATAGAAGTGCCGTGTTATACGGGGGTTACCTGTATTGCAGTATTATTAAAGGAAAACTGTAACCAACATTTCATAACAAATAAAAATAATAAGAAATTACATTAAAGTATGTTTATTGCAATTATAATCTATTATTGCCAAAGGCACTATCACATCTCAAAAATGTCAAAAATCTAATTTCTTGAATAACAATTGTGTATTCTATTAGAAAACAATATCATGTCATTTGGTGGAGAATATGTAGCATTCACTATTTCTTTAACAATCAAAAAACTGATTTTAGGTTTATGTAACGACAATTAATATTTATTTACGTCATTTACCACAATAACATAAATCAAAATAAAACCTACCTTTGTTCGTGTCGTTATCTTGTAATTATTAAGTGGACCGTTGTCTCTGATCTTATTGCATCTCATAATTATCGCATCGAGAGTCTGTATTAGCTTTCCAATATTGTGACAATTGGGTTCGGAACCATCAACCCATGCAATGTGATCGCCCCTGATGACGCTGGATGCTGCACAGCTATTAACTAACTGTCCATTATGAAAGAGTCCAGCCCTGTAGAGATTTCTGACCTCGTCCAGAATAGCTTTACCAGTCTGTTCACCCATAAATTTATCGATGACACAAATTCCATAGCTATTCAAATCCTTGACTAAATTATGGCACATACCATCAAACCATTCGGGATTCTGGTTATAAGATTCTATCATTGACTTTTCGTCGACTTGAGCGCATTCGTTCTGTCCGAAATGTTCGTTAAACATCTGATCACCGTCAGATAAGTATGCATCTTGAGAAGAAGCTTGGCTAACACTAAAATTGCTTTCCTTACTCATGTCGTTAACTAACAGATTATAATCGGGTATAGAACTGGATGCTATCAAATTCGACGAATCAAATTCCGTTTGAGTTACTTGTTCGGTGGGTTGATTCTGCCAAATTTGTTCCGAATAATAGAGTGGATTTACTTTATTCCAGCTGCTTTCACCTTGTGTGTTTTGTAAATTCGGTTGATTAATCATCTGCCTTATTTGAGTACATTCTTTCCTGTGTTCACGCCAGTGTAAACTCTGATGCTCTTTAGAACAGTACCAAGCGTAATGGCATCTACTGCATCTACTCAAGATACCTGTTCGACCGCACCATGAACACTTTATCGGTTCAGACATTTCTTCATCTCAAGCAATTGCGAAATAACCGTTTTTAGAAAACGAAAAGTTAAAAAACCTCTTCCGGCGCCTAACAACAAAACTAACGAATTCGACAATTACTACTTCAAAAACTAGCCAAAAAATAGCGTAATTTTTTTGCATTATATTTTTACTTCGACTTTTATAAATAATTATATTAAATTTAAATTAAATATATAAAATAACATAANACAGATTTGTGCTAAAAGTTGGTAGATAGAACTACAGTCAATATTGACAAGATAGTTTTTTTAAAAAACTTTGTGTTGAAAAGAATGTGCATTTATTATGCAAACTTTTTTACTACAGTTTGTCTATAGCAACATGATACATGGGTGATCTGCTGAAGGTGGATCTCCCACAGGATTTTCTAAGAGAAATGCAACTGTTTTTTAGATGCTAAAAATATGAAGAAAATTTTTTCGAATAAAATTAATGAAATTTAAAACTATAAATTATGATTTTTTTTTTTTTTGTAACATTTAACGAATCGTCTGCGTTTTGGTTCCTATCATGGAAGAGTGGTGGCTAGACGATGACGTAACGCAGAAGAAAAGCAATATGTCTTCTCCGACGAACAGTCAAATTGTGGATGAATTCGAATACTCTTTTCAGGTACTTTATGTAAATTATTGGTATTTACTAAAGTAATTCGGTTCGTTAATGAGCGAAGTTAATAAAATGCTGTATTAAAATAAAAGGCGTAATGATGATCGAGTTAGGCCTGTTTAATTAAGGATGTCGCCAATCGATATTCAGGATGCGACTATGCAGACGCGAATTTAGTAGCGAGAGAGAGGTTGCGAGCGATATAGTTCTCGCAAAGGAAAACCATGCACAAGTGAGAAGCGAGAAATATTGCTGGCGTGAGCGATTTTCTGGTTCTCGCATATATCTGACAGGGTTTGATATTTATCTCATCTCGCCTCTTCGCGCCACATATTCTCGCTCGCGTCTATATAGTCACATCCTTAATTCACTGTTCAAAAAATAGTTTATTATTACTTTTTTAATAGGCTTGTCTTGCTGCCTTGACAAATCCAGATTATTTCAATTTAAGAGATTCTGAAGAAATAAAAACAGGCAAGTTTTATACGAAGTAAGAAAAATTGTATTTAATAATACGAGACTTTGTTTAAATATATTGGTTTTGCATAAAGGTGTCGAACAAACCATTCAGAGATTTCTTGACTTAGCAAGACAGATGGAATGCTTTTTCCTACAAAGACGATTGTTGTTGTCAATTCAGAAACCTGAACATATAATATTAGAAGTAAGAAGTAACTTTTATTTATTAAGTTTAATGTATTCTAAAGTATTAGGAAAATATTTTAAATTTTTTTTATAGGATACTAACGAATTAAAAAATGAATTGGCTCGTAAAGAACAGTTGTTGCAGAAGTATTATGACAAAATACAATATTGGCAAAGCTTATTATCCGACACTACCGGTATAGCAGCCAGACCCACACAGATGCCACCTCCGCACACGCAGAGCATGCAATCTACTCAACCTCAGATGCAGGGAATACCTACTCCTGTATCTGCCCCTCAGCCTATGATGCAAAACATTATGCCCTCTCATTGCCAAGCACCTCCGCCGAATCAAGGAGGAATGAACCAGCCACCTCCAGCAATGGTTCCACCACATCCGCCACAGATGCATCCTCAACATATGGTTCCCGGTCAAACTCAAGGAAATCTGCAAGGACCATTAGCATACTTGGAAAGAACTATGTCTAATATAGGTATGCCAGATGGTAGTGCAAGATAATTATGGCATTCCTGTTTCTGAACAGTGTAATAAATGTATATTTTTATTAAAATAAACCTGATATATATGAGGACTGTATTTGACTTTGATTATCACAAAACTAAATAAGAAGTATAAAAAAAATATAATATATGCTTACTTTTTGACACTATTATAAGTAAAATTTCCACAGTACTACAAAAATTAACCTTAAACACTTCACTATTAGTCATACTATTACACAATTCATGTACACATAGTACATAAAATTTGCATTATTTCATAATTCAAATATCATTACAATGTAAAATATATTTTACATGCAAATCTTCTGTCTTTTATGAAGCTATCATTTGTTTTTGCTCTGTTATCTTTGAGAATAGTGTTGTTGCTTTTGTGGAACTAATGATTGCCTCATATGGTAATTCAGTGTGTCACACTCCTACCAAATTTCAATACAGCATGTTTGCTTAATTATCAACTAGCAGGAACCAGTTGAAATAGACTGTTTTTACTCAATTAGAATGCCAAAATTTTAAATGATTGCTATACTGATGAGTTATATAGAATACAAAGTCCTTTCTGGGTTTGTCTGCAGGTGATTTGACTGCTCTCTGGTAACATGAGACTTTTCAGTTTTGAATCTGGGTCCCAGAGTGGTAATTTGGTATTCTTAAGGCTGACCAACTTAGATTAGTAGTTATGGATTTGCAGTGATGGCCCATATCGTGGCAATCATCTTGTCCTGGATTTTGTCAATAAAACTGAGACTTACCAACAGTTCAAGTTTACTCTTATTTTTGTTAGCTTAGTGTCAATTGGTGGAATTCTTGACAAAGTAACAAATTGGACAATTAGAATAACATTTTGGTCTCATTGTGGAGCAACAGTGAAATAAAAACAGATTTGTGCTAAAAGTTGGTAGATAGAACTACAGTCAATATTGACAAGATAGTTTTTTAAAAAACTTTGTGTTGAAAAGAATGTGCATTTATTATGCAAACTTTTTTACTACAGTTTGTCTATAGCAACATGATACATGGGTGATCTGCTGAAGGTGGATCTCCCACAGGATTTTCTAAGAGAAATGCAACTGTTTTTTAGATGCTAAAAATATGAAGAAAATTTTTAAAAAAATTGTATGGCCAGCCCAGGTAAAGTGCAAACCAGTGACCAACTACCAGTGTTTGGTGGTTTTATCCACTGTCATTGATAAGCCTTTTTTATTATGGATTCTAAAAAATTAAAACAGTTTAGTTTAAAAATGAAAGTGATACACAATACATTTTAAATAAAAGTAAAATTTTTTGGTACTTTTCTGTTAATGGACACCAGTCGATATGGTAAGATTCAAGCTCTGAAGGGGTTTTACACCACACCAGAATTGTTGACCCTCTGCGATAATCCCCTCCAAAGATCAGTTTTTTAACATTTATCAGTACTGTATATTAATTAAATTAGAGGTTGCGGCCAACGTTTTCAACACGAAAACGTGTACGTCGGACGTTCAGCGCCGCTTTCCTATAAGCCTAGAAGTTTGACAATGGTGTTTGGATAGTCAGGGCAGCGGCAGCCTTATCCTTTGCGAGGCCCTTGTCCTTTGTGCAAAGTATGTGAATTGAAATAGTAGGCACTTATTAATATTAATATATACTGTACTATAAATTAAATTTATTTTATTGTTATAACTAATAGCCAAGGATAAAATAAAAAGTTTTAAATATCAACTTTTTTCTACTTGGTTGTTGCGCGAGGCCCCTCCAAGAGCGAGGCCCCGGGCGATTGCCCTGCTCGCCACCCCCTAAGGCCGCCACTG